TGAATAAATGGTTGAAATAAATAAATAAACAGAGGTCACAAATAAGTGGAGCAAGAGTGAGAAAAAATAGTTGATACTTTGAATATTTAGGAGGGGATTTTATGCCAAGTTATAGTGCAGAGGGCAAAGAATTTTAAATACTACTGGTGGCTCTAACCAGGAAAAACACAAAACGACACAAAGCTCAATAAAAATCTCAAAATTATTCCTTATCCCTATTAAATTTTGCTCCTCAAAAGTGTGATCACAAGAATCAAAATAAAATGTATATTCCTAATAATCATTCAGGAAAGTATTCAGTATAACCAGTAATTAAAAATTCAAATAAAAGTGAAAGTGTACTTTTTATAAGGTAATCAAAGATTTAAAAACTAGTCACAGCAGATAAATTCTTCTGGAAATAAGATGAAATGTCCATCAAATATTCTGTAAAAGTTGGGGCTGGGGATTTAGCTCAGAGGCAAAGTGCCTGCCTGGCAAGTGCAAGGTCATGAGTTCAATTCCTGGTACTAGAAGAAAAACAAAAACAAAACAAAACAAAATATTCTGTAAAAGTTAACTGCCTTTGATATAGCTGTTCTTTTCCTAAAAATCTAGCAGGTAAAGATTTGTGTGTAATGCTATTTATCATACATTTAAAATAAAAGTTCAAATGATTAAATGCATTAATGTGCATTCAGTATATAAAGTATGATGTTATTAAAATGTTGCAAAATATTTTTAGTTTAATGATATGGGCATATGGTTATAGTTATAGCTAAAGGAATATGAAGTGCTATATAATTATACATAGGTTCTAGACCAATTTTGTTAGAACAAGTGAAGTACTAAAGGGAATTATATAAAATATGAAGCACTTCTCTTTGCATGTTGAGATTATCAGATATTATAAATGTGTAACTTTTAAATGATCTTGAGTAAGCACATATTACCACTACAGTTTAAAACTGCTGTGAATTACTTCCCTAAATTTTCCACTTTTTGGAGTTTAGGAGATATTTAGGAAATATTAGTTAATTAATTAATTAATTTCCTTTTAAGAAATATTTTAGTACTGTACCTGATAGGTCCATATTAGTGGTCCTAATCTGCCAAGATTCTGGACAACACCAGCTCTCCTGGGTGGAAGTTCCATTCCGTACAGAAAGGACCTTAGGTCACAAGTTGTCCAGCACAAAGAAATAATGAGCACCAGTAGCATCGTGGACAACTACCATGATGAAATGAGAGATGGCCCATAGTGCCTGGGAAGCATAAAGCCCTTCTCCAAGGCTGGGCACTTTCTCTCGCCTCCTCCCTGGATGACTTCAGTCAGGCTCCCTCGCCCATTGTGGCATTTCTGTGAGTCCTGGTAGACAGAATGACTCGGGAGATATAAGTGACCTAACTCTAGTGCACACTGCAATTATTTATGAATTATTAGACTTGAAAGGGATCCTAAAGTCCATTTTATTAAACTCTCAGGTGATTTGAGAAACTCTGCAAAAAGAGACATTCAGCCTATGCTAACAGTAGAAAAGACACTTAGTTTAGGGCCCTCTTATGGGCTGAATCGTGTCCTCTTAAAATTCATATGGTGAAACACTAGTCTCCAAGGTGACTATATCAGAAGGCAGTGGCTTTTAAAAGGTAACTAAAGCTAATGAGGTCTTAAGAGTGAGGACCTAATCCAGTAAGACTGGTGACTTTACAGGGAAAGATGCCAAGAATGTGTTTGCACGGAGAAAAGTCCACGTTGGGACACAGTGGAAAGTTGGCTGTACTAGCCAGCTTTCCTGTCCTCGGTATTCAATGCCTGACACCCACAGCTTCGAGGAGCAGAGGTTTTACATGATTCGGGGTTTCAGGGGACTCAGTCCCTAGTTGTCTGGCTCCAAGGCAGAAATAAACAACATGGCAGAAAGATGTGACAGAATAAAAATGCTTAGTTTGTGACAGCTGGGAAGCAGGGCAGAACAGTGCTGAGGGGAAGCGGCCATGGGCCAGACATGGATGCCAAAGTCACACCTCCATGACCCACTCAGGCACACACAGACATGGGGTTCAATAATCCCCTGGGTGGGTCCCAAGCCAATCAAGTTGACATAATTAAACTTATCACCGCAGTGGCCATTGCAAGGCATAGACAAAGATTTCAGGAGAAAATAACCTTGCTGACACCTTTATCTTACATTTCTATTCTCCAGAACAGAGACACTGAAACTTTTAGAGCTCTCAATGAGACAAACCGCCTACTGTGGCACATATGCTGTAGGTTTACCACCACTGCTCTAAGGTGTGAAAAACTCATTTCTGTCATACAAACCCTCAAGCTGTGATTTTGCCATGGTAGTCTTAGCAGGCTAATGCAGGTGTTCTGTGGTGGGTAATTAGGCTCCTGTCTGTTCTTCAGAGTTATGGTGGGTGAGAAAAAATAAAATATATTCAACAGAAGACCATGTAGAGATTAAAATCACAGATATTGGGACCAGCTATTCCTATATTTCAACTGGTCACTCTAAGTATGAGTTAAAATTTCTTGACCTACCTAGACCTCATGTTTTCTAATTTTAAGATTAGAATAATCATGTATATCTTTCAAACTCACTTTAGTCTCTCAGGCTCAGTTCCCCTCATCAGGACCAATACTGAAGACTAAGCATGAACCATATTTTAAACTACTTGGGGATAAGAGCAACATGGAATATAAGTGTTTGTAAGAAACCAAGAAAGCTTTGGAAAAGAAAGGTATGGAGTATATTGAACACATAATGCTTTAACATCCTACATAAAGAACAAAAATCATTGACCTAGGGCCATGTAGCTAGAGAAGATGGTTATAGACATATTAAAGATAATATTCTTCTTCCTTCCTTTTATATTACACCTAGACATCCATCGTACTGGTCCAGCATGGTAACAACTGCCACAATCTTTCACTGCAGATGCCAGAGTCACACAGACAAACAAAATACAGAGCACAGCATCATTTTTCAGAAAATTGGTATTCAATACCTGACACCCACCACTTCAAGGAGCAGAGGTTTTAGATGGCTCAGGGACTCTGTCCCTAGTTGTCTGGCTCCAAGGCAAAAATAAACAACATGGCAGAAAGGTGTGAATTCCTGCCCCCTATCCTCTCTGCTATTCTCTGGCTTTTATACTACGTGACCTCATGCTGTCCTGCTCATTTTGGAGGTACTTGGGGCCCATGGTTTCCTTCTCTGTCATTATTTTAAATTTCCCATCCTGCTCCCACCCTCCACCAGTTTCCCTTAGCACTCTTTCTTCTTTGTTTCCAGGAGTCAAAGGACATCATTCATTCATTCCTCCACCCACTCCCTGATAGGCCCCTGAGGTGCAGGAAAATAGCCACGGTCATGTTCTCAGGACACTCAGGGTTAAATAGCAGAAATGACCAGGCAAACAAGCAGGCTCATTCAAGACAACAAAAAAGAAGAAGTAGGGAGCTATGACAGTGGCCAGTGAGCAGTAGGGATATGCCCAGGTCTCACCTGGCAGGCAGAGAAGGATTGTCAATGGCAATGCCTGTTCTGGTCCTGAAAGTTATGCCAACCTATTACACACAATGATTTTCCTTGGTCTTAGGAAAGTGCTTTGTGTATTAGTTATTAATACACATGTAAAGTTCATTCCTTACTACATTTTAATGATAATTATTATTTCTCAAATAATTTGTAATTAAAGCAGTGCTATCAACTTCCATATTGTGACCAATATTGTCAAGGTAAAGTAATCCATTTTTGAAATTTGTGCTATGAAGCCTGTGCTCTACGGGGAAAAATAATTCTAGCCTTTCTTTACCAAATGCTAACAACACGCTCTATGTTTTTAACTATAGTCTAATTTCTTCAAGATACTGAAGACTTCACATTTTCCAGATTCAGAAACTAAGTCTTAGAGAAGATGGTGAACTTGTTTCAAGATCATACACCCTCGACTGTAGCCAGAACACTTGCGTTGGTATCAAAGCTTGTGTGACTATGACCTTGACCTTCCCATGCCTTCGTTTCCTCACTTGGAAAATGTAGAGAATAACAATTTCTACCTTGCAGAGTGAGTGTCATACAACTTGATCCAATCGTGATGAATAAAATATAAAGTAATTCTTATCCTTTTAAGGTTCTTAGATAAAAAGAGGAGACAAAAATAGGTAAATGAGAGCATGCCACACCCCTGTCTGAACGTGTCCCCAGGAAGCCATGGGTCCCCAGCGAGGATGGACAGCTCGTGGCTGATGCTCAGTTCCAACCTTTCTACCTGGCATTAATGTGAATGAGTGAATGCATAAATAATTCATTCTGCCTCTGACTCTAGCTTGTCGTGACCTTTCATGGAGAACTTAATATCTCTAGGCTTCAGTTTTTAAATCAATCAACAGTTGATTAATAACATCTCACCTGAGAGTTAAATACAGTGTAAAAATAATATAAAATATATAACCACTCTACGCATGACGCAAACATAAACAGGGTACAACCCCAGATAACAGGGCTGATGTAGAACTCTTGTGTTTAGGAAGTCTCCTAACAACTGACTTCACTTTACTTACATGTCAGAACTGATCCAGGACTATAGATTATGCTTCTACATAAAAGGTTTAACATTCAGATCACGGTGAGCCACACTTCTGCGTCTTAAGATTATTCCACATACATGAGGATTTTAAGGTAGCAGACATGGGACCATGGACGCTGAAGGCTTCCTCGACCATCACCCCACCTGGGAGTGTGAGGTTGGCACCACACTGGGCCCAGCTTCAGTCCTGTGGTCTGTGTGAGCAGGAGCAAGCTCAGCTCAACCCCTGGGGCTGGTACCTTCCGAAGGTTCCCGCACAATTCACCATAAGACTAAAATGACCATAAAGATCGTGGGACAGGAGACAAAATGAAACAGTGCACCCTCAAAAACCACATTTCCATGTAAGTATACACTGCAGGTATCCGGCATGTATGTGTGCATTTACATGTCCTATTAACTGATAACGGTGGAAATCTTACCTGTGACCGTGTAGTTCTCTCCACTGCCCGAGTAGATGAGCCTCCCATCCATGTATAAGGAGTACTGAGTTATAACACCGTTTGCCTGTTTGGGTGGATTCCACGAGAGGAACAAGGAAGTGGGGAAGGACTTGGCTACTGGTGACTGAACCTCTTGTGGGGCTGTGAGCAGAAAGAAAAAAGAAAAAGATTTATAGAGTCTAACTTTAGTTTACTTTTCTAACTCAAACTTTTCAGACCTAAACCAATAAATCATGGAATAAGCCTGAAATCCCATGCATGGATATGTTCCTGATTCGTGGGCAGCTTGTCAGTAATTGCTTTAGGAAAGCGCTAAATAACTGTCCTGGATTTATGGGAATCTGCATCGGTGATGGATGGGGAGGACCTGCACTAGTTCACTTGACTGAAGTCTGCCTTACTTCATCAAAAGTATAATAACCCACGGTGGCTACGTGGGCCTGAACTCAGGAAAGCAATTAGGCTGATAGGGTGTCCTGGCCTGGAGGAGCCTGGGACTCACTCTGATGACAGTGTTTCATACAGCTATTAAAATACCCAGAAAAACAGAATCAATTGATGATATGTAGAAACTACTGTGTGTGTACTCTTAAAAATTTCTTCATCTTACATGAAGTGGCCAATGAATTTGAGGCACAGGAACTAAATATGGTGAAAATTTGACCCTAGACATGACCATCACTCCATCTTTTACGAATGAATTCTTCGAAAAGTTACAAGTTTGGGAATTCCCTATATAATAAGGAAAGAAGAACAGAAAGAGTTTGGATTCCGCTGAGACATAACCATGAGATGAGTGTGAATGGAGCCGCCAAAATCCGCAGAGGATTTTGTGGACATGGAGGAGCTAGTGAGAGACATAAGACAGTGTGTTTGTGTGAGGGTTGATGGGTGGGTGGTGGTATGGGTAGAGCAGGCGAAGATCATGACATCGGCAGATGCGATAACACCTTGGGATAAACTGCTATTTTCAGTAGACCAGGAAGATGGGGAAGATACTGGGGAAATGCTGAAGGTGTGTATGCAAGTGAGGGGAGTCTGGTTCAATCAGAAGCAGAATACAGAGAACAAAGGGCCACAATAAAAATTCTACATTTTTCTTTGTCACTACTTCATTGTACAGAACTATGTCATGTATATAAATATATGTTCTATGTGAAACAGTGTTTGCCAAACTGTTTAAGAGAGGGCAGAAAGGGGCTGGGGATTTAGCTCAGCGGCAAAGCGCCTGCCTGGCAAGCTCAAGGTCGCGAGTTTGGTTCCCGGTACCGGAGAAAAAAAAAAAAAACAAAAAAAAAACAAAAAAAAAAAAAGAAGAGAGGGCAGAAGGGAAATCAGAAGGTTGAGGAGATGAAGGCTGGGAAGAGAGATGGGTAGACAATTTTCTTCCCTAAATATCGAGCTTTTAAGTCTTGTAACAACTTAAAAACTAGACAGCAGAAGAAATGTGCAATTCTTCTCCTCCAGGAGATGGAAACATGAAATAACCATGCTTCCCATGTTTTGAGGGCTGCTATTTCTTGAAGGGATGTTTTCCAGTGCCGGGGCAAAGCTTTCACTTTGGACTGCTAAAGTATTTTCTCTTTCCCACTGCCTCTGAACGTGTGCTTTCTGAGACATTAATTTATGCCAACAGTTTGCAAGTTCCAAGTACAACAAAAGTGAGACTTAAGTCAGAAGGAACTGAGAAGTGATTAATAATGCCTCAATTGGCATTTGGAGGTTCCATCACACTGAAATAATTGTTGCCTGTGCTGGTGTTTAGCAGTTAAAAGAGAGCATGGAAATCAAGCGTTTGATTCTCAATTTCATACTGTGCCATACAATCAATTCTTTTTAGTCAGACTGTCTCTAGATTTACTTCAGAGCCATAGTAAAATGAGGAAGCTTTCATTAATCTTTCAGATGCTTCATATTAATGACAAGGCTCTTGCATGAACAATGTAACAGCAATTAAAAAGCCCATTAATCTGCATTACAGCTATTAAAGATGCATGTCATTAAAGGGTATGGAGTTTGATTCATTTTCGCACCCCCCAAAAAATGGAGCAATTATGGCCTGGCAATGCACTTTGTCATCAAATTAGGTTGGGGTTTTCCAGCAAATGGCCTAGCAGCATTTAGCTCTTCTCCTATTTTATTATTCATGACTGAAATGTGGAAGTCAAGACCTTTGAAATTACTTTACCTTCTTGTGGAGTAGAGATGCTCACTGCCTGTGAGCTCTCGGTACAGCCAGCCAGAGTGCAAGCAGTTAGGGTTACCGAGTAGTTTCTGAAGGGTAGCAGGCCTGTCAGTGTGGCTGTAATGACAGGGGGACAAACATCGTTGGCATATGTACCATGAGCATCTATAAAGAGGAGTGTGTGTGTGTGTGTGTGTGTGTGTGTGTGTGTGTGAGAGAGAGAGAGAGAGAGAGAGAGAGAGAGAGAGAGAGACATTCAAAGACAGACACCAAGACAGAGAGGAAACAAAAACATATCCTGACGACAGAATGAGCCAACTCATGAGAAAACATTATGAAACCCACTTATTGTCAAGACAGTTGTAAAACAGGCATTTAATGTTTCACCGAGTGAGGGTGGGCCAGGGGGAGGGGACCCACATATAGTACACGAAACAGAGTACAAGATACCCAACAGTTAAGATGTGTAGCATCTCACACCGGTTCCTAGACCGCCCACAGAAACAAAACTATTTAATTTTCTTGAACCTGGCATTTTTCTACCGCATTTAACAAAGGAGTCCTTTTTATGCAGTAACTGTTAACACGCTTCAGGAGATGCTACTCCCAAGAGTGGCTTCATTATTTTAACAGTAGGATACACATAGACAAACTATTTGTTTATGTTGCAGCTAACAAATATGCAAATTAACATAGTGGGACAATTAGCAAATTAGATAATTATGCTTTTGTACTTCTACTTGCAGAATTATTAGTTTATTTAATTAAGACACCTGTTTTAAGAGAAAGTATTGAATTAACTTGGCTTGGTGGTGGATGGGTCAGATCTGTTCAGCTATTAAAAGTACCTGCAAAAATGAAAACACATTTTTCTTTACTGGTATTTATAATCAAGGCAGACATTCCTTATTTAGTTAATCCTGTGAATTAAGCAGTACCAAAAATACAATCTGGGCATTTGTTCACCACTATTTTTTTTCTTCTTCAGGAAGATTTTTGGAGTAATCCTTAATCCTAAATATGGCTTGTCGTCATTCTTATAAAGAGATATTCCCATTCCAGATATCCCTTTATTGATTAAGCCTTCAATAGCCTCGAGAGTACATCACTGTTTTAGAGTGCCAATAGTGGCGACAGCCTGCATCCTTCAAATACAAATTTAAATAGGACTTGTTTTCATAGCCGCCTTCTCCAATAGAAAATTTTAGAAATTAAAAGCCAAAAGGCTGGAATGGAGCAGACGTCCTAAGCCATCTGCTTTGACACCTTCTACTTGCCCTCCACCCTGGGTGCACCTTCCGGTCTCCATTTCACAGCTCCCCAGGCCTCCTCTGTACCCCTGAGCCCCAGGCCTCACTTCTAGATGGGAATATCTACCCATTTGGCATCCACATTGCACCTCACGGCCAGAGAAGACAGCAAGCCGATGCACGCATTCACACGCACGCGTGACCATCTCGTCAGGCTTAACTCTAACTTCTCAACCCCTTGTGTTCGCCTCCTGCTTTGCCTCATTTCTGCTCCTGTGTTGCTTCCTCCTGCATCTCCCAGACCACGAGCCACACTTTGAGCTCACTCTCTCTTAGGAAGCTCTCATCCTTCCACTGGACGTCTTAAAGCAAGTACTGTTGCTGCATGCCCGTCATCACTGTAAAGCTGCAGAGACCAGACACTCAGATCAGAACACCAGGGCACAGAGGCCAGTTCTGTTACTGGTTTGCACAACTGTGGGCTAGTTGTTCAGACGTCTGTGCCTTGGTTTCTTCATCTGCACACAGATAATGCGAGACCCTATCTTGAAGAAGCGGCCTCAGAGACCTCATCTATGAAAAAAAGAACACTGCACTACTTGCCTTCAGAAGGTTGCTACCAAGTCACCAGCACCCAACTCCAAGCATGTAAGGAGAATGCTCTGGTGCAAAGCTGTGTCATGCTGTGACTGCAACCCAGCTTTTGCCTTGATGGCCACTTAGTGATTTTTATCTCTCAGACATTGCCAGGCCTCCCTGAAACTGCCAATCCAAAAACCCTTCCTCAGTCCTTGGTGCCTCAGACCGACAGACTTGAGCACTCTTAAGCTCCCTCCAGTGCTACTGAATGCTCTGGAGTTGTTCTCCTAAACTACAGCAAAATCCTCACCATGACTCACTTGTGGTCCTCCACACCCTTACATGGCATTTGATTCACAAAGTTGGGTCCTCAGATTTGTTTCTTTTAATAAAGACTTGGTTTTGTTATTTCATCTCTCTCTCTCTCTCTCTCCCTCTCTCTCTCTCTTGCTCTCACTCTATGTATGATGGACTCTCCTGCTAATCTTTCTTTTTATCTTAAGATCAGAATTCCTAGTCCATGATGATAAGAGAGCTATATTTAATTAAAGACGATTGTTAAAAGGATAATCACTGAGGAATACTCCCCTCAGCAAACCTGCTTTCTCTAGCTCTGTCCTTTGGTAAAGAAGTTTACCAGATTCTATTACCTTTCACAGAAAAATTTTAAGCTTCTAAAAGAAAGTTCCTGGTGAGAAACTAGAGCATCCTTTCAGTCACTTATCAATGTGCTCACGTTTCCCATTTTAGGCAGTCAAAGCCATAATAAACACTGGGAACTGAGAGCTGCAGAACAGAACAGGAAAAAAGAGAAGAATGTGGACATGCTGGCCACTCTACTTCCCAAATAGAAAGTGTGGATAGTTTATAAGCCACATTTTCAAAGCAGAGAGGCTGGCATGGTGTTTCTGTCCCCTTCCCAAGGCGAAAGCAGGGCCTTGGCCCTTCCTCTTGCATCTCCAAGATGAAGTTCATCAAACCATGGGGATAATGCTCTCTAAAGACAAACTGGTATCGCCCACTTGAATGAAGAATAGTAGGATGATAGCATAGCATTTTCTCTCCTCTTGTCAGGTTACAGTTAAGAGCCAGGGCAGGAGGATGGGTTAGCCCCACTAGATATCTTCAGTAAATGGGAATAAAGACAAAGCCAAACTACTATCTAGAACCCAGTTTATCTCTTTTTGATTCTCAAAATGGAAAGTTTCCCAGAATGGATTAAGGATGATGTTTATGAAAAGTTGTATTATTACCAAGGGAGGATGAAAAAGTACATTCTCTCCAAGACTAAGTAAGGTAGTCTTGGATATATCCCATGATATCCTTGAGTGGTTATACTAAGTGTCTGGCTTTATGTGTCCAAGTCATTCTTAGAGTATACATTCTGCAGAAAAAAGTAGTGCTAGTGTGATAATATATCATCTTAAGAAAGCATTTATCAATTTCTCTTCTGTCTGCCTCTGGGAAAGGTACACTAGCAGACAATTGATTTTTACAAGGCTTTTAATATAGGAAAATGTTATTGCTAGAGGGACCCTGCTGATACACATCGTAATAGGGAAAGCAAGGTATCTGCACTCATGCAAGGGGCACTTCTAAGATTCAGACTGTCCAGTCTAAGAGGGTAAGAGGCTTGCATTTAGTCAAACACAGATTTAAAAAAGATGTTTACCCCAAGTCCATGTCAGTATTCTACTTAACAGAACACTGAGAAATACAGTGTGATATATTTACAAAAGAGCCCTAGACAGGATAGTATGTCCACAGAAAACCCAAGTAAAGCAGACACACTTGTGTAAATATGGCACTGTGCCTCTGTTGTGAGAAACTGAAAGTGTAAATAAGGACCAAAATGTTTAATAGAGCTTGTGAAATAGAAGGAAAATATTCCAGTGAGAAGGGGAACTAGGGAGATGAGGGGGAAAGGAAGGAAGGGAAGAGGAAAAAAATGAGAAAAGAAGGAAAAATGGGAACAAATATTTTGTAAATAAGGAGGGGAAGAGGGGTTGAAGGGAGGGGAGAGGAGTAGGGAAAAAAAAGAAGAATCAAGACATATGATGTACAGGTACAAATTCCCTATGGTCAATGTGAGCATTATGTATATCTAAAATGTACCAATAAACTTAATTTTTAAAAAGCAGGACAAAAAGAGAAAACCGTGCAGCCCTGTACTGTGACACGTGGGGTTTTACAGTCAACTGCGCTGAGCAGCGGGAACGGGGAGCGTGCTTGGCTGCGCACGCCCTCATTTGACAAGAATCGCCATGGGGAGGCTGCCTGCATTTGACCGTGCCCGTCGCTGCTAGGCAGGCGAGACGACCTCTCAAACTCCCTTCCAGCCACAAAATTCTGTGAAATCAGAAAACGGTCCCCACCACAACAGGCAACCTGCCAGTCTTTCCTATAATGGAAGAAGGCACACTGGAGGGACAGCCAACAAGCATAAAGTAAGAGTATTGATGTCTTAAAAGTGTGAGAGTCCCGTGAAACACAGGCGCATCGGTGGCGTCTGGATTAAAATCATCCCCGCCAGCAGGACCCGGGCTCTGACTCTGGAGCGATAATGCATTTTGCACATTTTGCATTAATGCCTCACGTGGCGAAGGCGTGACGGGCCACACCAAGGGACTTGCAAGTCTAGCCAGCCCTCTCCCTTTGAACTGTGGTCTGCCTGCTGCCTTGGGTGCAGAAAGCCCCAGAAAGAATACAATGAGCCTGGTAGGAATTTAAGAGCTGTCTTGGATAGGGCTCCAAACGGTGCTCTGAGAGTTCCACCTAGCACAGAGGAAGCCTGTGACATGAAAGTCCTTTTCAGGAATGTGGGGGCATCTTTCCACATTACAGAGTGCGATCAAAATACATGGTGAATACTTAAATCTAAAAACTTTATTACAGTAAAAGAACACACTCACCCCACTGCTCTTGCCCTCTCTGAAGCAGCCCTGGGAGTCCCCCCTCATGTCTTTAGGAAGTGTGATCGAAAATACTGTGACAGCTGCTGCGTAGGGCCGTCCAACAGAAAGGCAGGCTAGGAAGGTCACTGGGATGTGTCCTCCTTATTCAGTGGGTCTGCCACCGTGTGGCTTTCTGCTCTTCCCCGAAGTCAAGATGACCATGAAGGGGACATGTTTTGAGTCCATTCAGGACGTGGAGGCACCCAGGAGAGTGCAGCTGAAGACCCTCCGGAAAGAGGACTCCAGAACTGCTTCAGAAAGTGGCAAGAACGACGGGAGAAGTGTGTTCAAAGTGAAGGGGAGTCCTTTCAGGGGGGTAATGGTGATGTGTCTT